TCCCTTTCTCAGCATCACTGCTGCACAACCCTAAAGCCTGCAGGTCAGCAACTTCGTGTGTGGGCCAAGGGGGCTCTTGTGGCAATGCTGGGTTACTTTATTAAAAAAAAACGACCCACAGAAATTGAGTTCCATTAATTTAAATGTGCCCTTGTGGCTGAAGTTTGCAGTAACATTTTTAGTCACTAAGGACAGGCCTCCCTTTCTTCCCAAAGCTTTGCAATAGAATCAAACTGAATCACATCAACTGGAGTGTTGAAGGGGCCTCTAAGGCCTCCACAGGTAGTCACCCATCCGGCTGCAGGCCTGCGCCCTTCCGGCTTAGCTAAGATGCCATGACATTGCATTCACTGCAACCAAATGACAGCATTCCCTTGGACGTACCCATCCAAGGTTTTGCCATGATTTCCTTTGCTTAGCAAGGAAGGGGTGTCAGGATTGCTGTCTCTATAGATACAGATTCACTGGCAGAGAGACCTGGTTGTATCCCTGCCCATCGCCTTGCTGGGGGGCAGCTCCCCCACCAGCCGGGAAAGCAGTAGGCCAGCATCACCCCCAGTGGCCTGCAGGGGTGCTCCATGCCCGGGGGTGCCCATGAGCTTGGCTTCGTGCAGGCAAGGCAGGCACTGTGCCTCCAGCTCTGATGGCCATGTCAGCTCGCCAGCAGCCTCTGCCACATCAACGGAAAGGTGATTCTGGCCCACGCAGAGCCAGGCCCACGTGCCAGTAAATAAAGCTTCCAGGATGCAATCCCCCGAAACCAGACTGACCCCTCCACCCCTGCCTGCCCATGCCTCCGTGGGGCAGTACAAAACATCCTGTTCAGGAAGTTGCTCAGGGGAGCCCAGTCTATCAATATGTAACTCATACTGGGCCTCTCTCACACCCACACCGCCGCGGGAGGCAGGGGAGAGGCCTTGACGTGCGCTCTGCTTGGCTCTCTTTGCTTGCTTGATTTATTGATTTGTTTCCCATAAGAAGTTAACCTCACAAAGTGTTCCCAGGCCTCTGCGTGGGCCGCGCCATGCATTTGCCTCCACCTCCCAGTGCCTCACGCTTCATTCCTGCCAGCTGACACCTGTGTTGCACGCTCAGCCCTCGTTCTGAGTCGGTGCAAGCAACGGGACAAGCGCAAGAGCTGTGCAAGTTCCTTCTCGGCTGCAGGCTCCCTCAGCCCACAAAATCCCCTCTGTGGTTATTGGGGAGCAAGACCCATGGAACTCAATGGCTCCTACTTACTTCTGAGGATACACACATAGGATTGTGCTATAAGTCTTGCTGGAGCCCTGTGCCAGACTAGGTGGCCCGGGAGGCCCCTTCTGAGTCGCTCTTTTTCTATGTTTCGGTGTCTGCAATCCTATACCCGAGAAGTAAGTGTGTTCCATTAAACTGGCACAGGATTGCCCTGAAAGGAGACCATGGGCTCTCAAAAATGTCACTGCATATCTGTCAGACTCTGAGTGGGGCACCTGGGCAAAACATTCCCTCACAGAAGAAGAAAAAGAAATCAGGGAGAGGAACACTCCAGGGTCTCATGGTTCAGCTTGACTGTCTGGGGGAAGACACCCCAGCCAAGGCACCAGCTGGAGAGTCCCAAGCATCATTGGGCCCAGCTTTGGGGTACATGGGCTTTCCCAGCTGGGAGGCTAATGGAATTCACTGTGCCTGGAATCACGGAGATGCAAGAGACTTAGCTATTGTCTAGTCCAGGGGTCGGCAACCCAGGGCGCCGGAGCCGCACATGGCTCTTGAATCCCCCCACTGCAGCTCCGCCGCCCAGAATACGGGTTGCAGCCGCAGATCTGCGACCAAGGCTCCGAGTAGGTGATGATGAGGCATCCACTCAGGAATGCCCGTGCTAACTGGTTAAGTAAATTGCGACATTCCTCTGCTATTGTGCAGGGAAAGAGTGGAACAAGCTTCCTGAAGGCTCTCACATTACGCAAACCCTGCTGAAAAGTTTCTCTTTGTCCCAATGTAATCTCCTTCATCTGAATGTTAAAAGCTGCCACTAAACACACCTATACCTGCGACACCCCCTGCCCCCCCCATAGGCCAACCATGCATAAATCGAAGAAAAGTTTCTGAAGAAAACCAACCAAGCATTTAATTATATGTGGGTAGATTCATTTGCTTTTACTGCTGACCAACTTATGGGGTTTGCTGTTTAATGCACGCAGCCCTTTAGCACTGACTTTGAAGCTGTTCTATTCAAAATACATGAAAAGAGTCCTACTAGTTTATAATGTAACATTAAAATTAACAGTTTTTAGTGACTGAAGAAGAGCTGCAGCTAAATCATAATGAAGATATACATAGCATTAAGCTAAAAAACGATATATGCAGTGCCATCTTCATTTTCGATGTCAAAAGGGTTTTGCGGCTCCCGGTGTTTTCTTTTGTGTGGGAAACGGGTCCAAATGGCTCTCTGAGTGTGAAAGGTTGCCGACCCCTGGCCTAGTCCAACCCCCTGCTCAGTGCCCTGCCGTGCAGTTTCAGCATCCCTGACAGATGGCCCTCTGGCACGCACCTCCACTTCTCCAGCAATGGAGAACCCACTGCCTTTCCACTCTGGACAGCCCTGACCGCTAGCAGCACGTCTCCATGTTTCGCTGCACTCTGCTTCCCTGCCATCCTCAGCCGCTGGTTCCAGACCTACCCTTGGATGCAACAAAATATGTCTGCTCCATTTCTTGTCCGACAACTTTCCAGACATTGGAAGAGCACTCTCCTGTCCCCACTTGTCTCTTCTCCAGCACTTTCAACTGTTTCGACTGTTTGGACCACTCAGCAACCTCACTGTGCTTCTCTTGACCTGTCCCAGGTGGCAAATGTCCTTCTGAGAATGTGCCTCCCAGCATTCCAGAGGGCACCTGTAGGGAAAAGCTGATCAGCTGGACAAATTCTCTTATGTTTTAGCACACATTACGTGTTCACGAACATGCTGAAGGAGGAGACTTTCTAGTCTCTTAGCATGAAGTTCTTGTTTTGGGGTATTGCAGAAGGGCAAAAATGGTAGGCTGCTCAGTTTTTAAGTGCCAGGAAAGGGGAGAGGCACTTGTGGATCATCTCAGGTGAGAAAACAACTCCATTGGCTTGGGAGTAGGGGAGGGCCCAGAGCACCGGGCTGCCCCAGCTCTTGCGCTGACAGCAGGGCCCCTGTGGCCATGCTGAAATGCAGCAACTGGCTTTGGCCCAGTGGGACCCAGCAGGCTCCAGCCACATCTGGGTGCCAAGAGCTCCCGGGAGCTTCATGATTCATCTGCAGGGCATCTGCTCTGCTGGGCAGAGGCTGCAAAGCTTTCCTGGAGCTGGGCTAAAACCCTCCACCAGCAGCAGTGGCATGGAATTGTGGCAGGACGATCTGGAGGACGGTGAATGTGTGGCACAAAGGCCTTCCCTGGTCCTAGCTGGATTCCCCCCTCTCCGTTCTCTCTCGGCTCTTGCTTCTTCCAAGCGCCCTGGAAAGCTCAACAGACAGGCAGCCAACGCCCAGTCACTTTCAGCCACGCTCTGCCAAAATGTAAAGAATCTCTATTTAAATGGCAGTCATCATTTTAAGTGTCCGTGCAAACACGTAAATCAACAGATGTGAATACTGCGCAGGTGTGAGTGGCTGCATTTCTTCCCCCAACACCAATCAGCCTCCCTGCTTTCTGGCCCCTCCCCTGAAATCCTCGCTGTCGCTATTTGGCTTGCTCTTGCCCCGCGCCTCCTCCTGCTGCCCTGGGCGTCTCCCTGCAAGCAAGGGGCCGCGGCGGGGGGCCACCTTCTCCCAGCCTAATTTCAGAAGCCCTCCTCAGGCAACCTGCTCAGGCCTTCTCCAGCAGCCTGCTGGCTGGGGAGGGGGAGAGAGTGGGTGGGGTGCAGAAGAGAGAGTAGGGGGATAAAAGAAGGGGGGGGGATGGAGAGAGAGAGAAGGCAGTCGGGAGCACGGCAGAGAGAGGAAGGCAGGGAGAGAGAAGGGTCTGCCCACCTGCACCAGCTTCAGGCCTCCTTGTCTCCTCCTGTTTCAAGCGTGCGAATTGCAGCCTCCCTGGCAGGGGTCCCCGCGGCGCTGCTGCCCCGGTTGAGCTGACTTGTCAGGCCTTGAAGTTAAAACGATGGGGACTGAAATGAAGGGGGGCTTGTGGCGGGAGCCCTGGCTGTGCCGGCACACAGGCCTCTGTGTGCAGCCCATTCTTCTTGTGGCTTCCTTCTGTATCCCCCCCGGGGAGCATGGGAACTGGAGAGGCAGGGGAATTCGCTTGCAGCAGTAGTTCACAGCAAACTTTTCCAACCTGTCTTGGACTACAAATCCCATCACCCCAACCAGCATGGACATTGGCCAAACTGGGGGTGACGGGGCCTCATAGTCCAACAGATCTAGTAACACCAAGCCGGAGAATCTGCCACAGAGGGGCCAGCGTTGCCTCGCCCCCCCCCCCCGTCTCCCACGGGTCCTTCAGTCAGCAAAACAGCTCACAAGAAGCACACGACATTCCAGTATCATTTTATTATGAAGCGCTTGCCCCCAGCAGAGTCATGGCCCGCATCAGACCAGCCCCTCAAATGCAGCCTAAAGCAGGGCCCCCCAAAACATGTGCCTTCCAGGAGGAAACACCTGCGCCCTCTCATCTGCAAGAAACACAGGCAATGCTAAGGAGGGAAGGGTCACCTCTGTTTGGGGTAGTTTGACTCATGGAAAGGTCAGTTGCTTCCTTCCAGATGTTTCAGACCATGACTCCCATAACCATGACCAGTGGCTACCCTGGCTGAGGCTGATGGGCATTGCAATCCACACCATCTGCAGGGTGCCAGGTTGCCTACCCCTGCTTTAAGGGTAGGTGAGTATCTTGGGAGGCTGCATGCCTAATAGCCCTTACTCTTGAGTAGCCCTACTGAGTCTCTCCTAGATGCTTACATTGGCAAGCAGTTTTGTGTCTACAGCACATGGACCAGCAAACATTTGAAGAGCAGGCAGGCCACCTGTGCTACTGCTGCTTTGCACCAGGAGCCGATTATTCCACGGCCGGCTTAATCAGATGGCCATTGAAGGTGATGTAAACGTCGAACTCCTCGCTGTAGATGGCATTCTCCCTCTCCCGCTTGAACATCCGCACCCAGACCTCGTCCCCTTCCTGGAGGTCCAGCATGAGGCTCTGACTCTGCATGATGCTTCGCTCACTGGGCTGCGAGTAGAGGATGGCGGCCTCCTTGTCATTCCGCATGATGTGCAGGTAGGTCTCCTTGTAGTTCCAGGTGTGGACATTGAGGTTGAAGAAGTAGATGCCCGGCACGTAGCAGAAGAACTTCCCAGTGAACATGTTGAAGTGCTTGTGCAGGTTGACGAACTCGGTGTCAAAAGTGACGTGCTGGTAGTAATCGGAGCTGTGCAGGGGCTTGCTGCGGCCCACCGAGAAGGCAACGTAGTGCTGCTTGCAGGAGTCGCCGGGCGGGCCAGCTTGGCCCTTCTGCCCTTTCCGGCCGTGATAGCCGCGTAGGCCTGGCTCGCCGGCTTTCCCTTCAGGGCCAGGAATTCCTCTTTCCCCTGCTTCACCTTTCTCACCTACGGGTGCAAGGAGAGGCCAGGTTACTGGGAGGGAGGAGATGGAACATGTCCGGGGAGAACCAAGGCTTGTATCGGGGCCATGTTTTGCCTTTGGACCACTTTTCAGGGGTAGGATTCAACTTTGAGGTGTGAAAAGTGGTCCAAAGAAGGAGGATGCCTCTGGGGGTGTACAGTGTGCCTCAGTAACCTGCCCCTTTCTTGAAAGTGTTATCAGAAGCCTCCCTCCAGGTGCCCCCACATCCAGAGGTTAAAGGCAGACAAAAGGGGGCAGGGCCTTTTCAGTGGTGGTGGTGCCGGTCTCTAGCCCGTCATCCTCAAGGACACCTCTTTGGCACGATGCCCCCTCTCCATTAGGCAAAAGGTTGAAACAGCTTGCTCCACTGAGGCGCTGGGCAGCCATTCTGAAGACTCCTTTTCCCATCCATGCCCCCTCACCTCTGCCAAGTGGGTCACTGAACTGAGTGACTCTCCCTCAGCAAGGCTGTGTTTGCTTAAGATGTGGTTTCTTGGGGCCAGAACTAGGCAGTCGAACGACAGGTCAAGAGTTATGCACATTGGTATGCCCATTGCTTGGTTAGAATTTAATACCAGGGTGGGGAACTGTTGCAGCCCTGGGAGCTAGACTGACTCCTGGGACTCCCACGGGGAGGGAAATGATGCCAGGGGGTGCCCCAACTCCCCAGAGTCTGTCCCTCGACATCGCATGAGCAGAGCTTCCTTTGCCAGCACTGGCGCTGGTTTGATAATGGGGCACACCCATGCCAGGACGCTTCACAGATGGAATACGTGGGGCTGCCCTTGAAGACCATTCAGAAACTGCAGCCAGATTCATAACTGGGGCCGCTTGTCAGCATCTAAGACCAGCTCTGGCCTCTTGCATTGACTGCCTGTGCGCTTTATAACCTTACACAGCCTGGGACCACAATTCCTTATCAGAGCACCTTTCTCATTTGCAATCTACTTGGATACTACATTCAATAAATAAATAAATTTTGGGGCCTTCCGCCAAGTGCCAACTCCAAGGGAGGCTTGGAGGGTGATAAGAAAGGGATGGCTATCTGTGTCCCCCATTTATGGAACTATCTCCCCAGTGCAGCCTTCCCGGCACCAAATTGGTCAACATTTCAGCACCAGGTTAAGATGGCCCTTAATGCAGAGCCCTTCCAAGACTTACTTGGACACCCGGGGGAGAGGACACAGCCCAGGCATTTGTTTTCACAGTGTCATTCTTTGTGGTTGCTTGTTTTTAGCTGTTTCTCTCTTTATGTTATTTTATTGCATTTTATTGTCTTCTTTTTATGGATGGTTGCAAACCACCCAGAGAGCTTCAGCTGTGGGGTAGTAGAGAAATGAGGGCTGCCAGGTGGTCAAAACAGGCACTCAGGCTGGAGGGTGCCGTTTTGGGGGTTCGCTGCTGCAGGTGTGGATGGGCCTCCCCACACAGAATTTCCTATAAGACATTGGACGGGAGGAAACTATCTGCTCGGGGGGAGGGGGGTCATCCAGTTCGTACATGTGAGCGTCCCCCACAACTCTGCACTTGTCCAGTGACAAGCACACAGGTGTGACTGGAGCCTCCCGGGAGAGGCATGCCAACAAGGCCTGTTTACCTTTTAGGATTGTGATATCAATGGTGGGCTGGACCTTGGGCATAGAGTAGAAGGAATCGCTGGTCATTCGTGCGTATCGGGAACTGGTGATAGAGCCTGGAAGCTCGGCAGGTGCGCAGCATCGCACACATCCAGGAAACCTCCGCGCCTCTCTCCGTGGGAAGGGCTTTTCACCAGGTGGGCTGCTGGCATGCAAAGAGGAGGCCAAGAGCAGCAGAAAGATGGCACCCATCTCGGGCTAGGCAAGTAAAGAAGAAGAAACCCTTTACAGGAGGAAAAGCTTGCAAACCAACCCTTCACTCAACTTGGCTTGCTTGCATTGATTCATTTATCTATTCGTTATATTTACATCCCACCTTTTCCCTGCAAAGAACTCAAGGCAGTTTGCACAGACATCCTCCTCATCCTCTGCTTTAGCCTCACAACATCCTTGCAAGCAGTGCTGGGAGTCGATGACTGGCCCACACGTGGTTTCCGTGAGAGAGAAATCTGCCAGAATGACAGAAGGCATGCGCCTCACTGCCACCACGGAGCACAAGGAGACGGGGCAGCCACGTGCCTCTTGGACAGAGCGCAGGCCCCTGCTGGAAAGGCTGCCGGGTTCAGCCAGCGTGGAGGGTGAGAACCCTCCAGAGAAAGTGTTGGGCCTGGAAACTGCCCATCCACAGGAGAACTGTCCCTGGACAGCAGACGGGGGAAGGCACACCATTCCCCTGGTTCCAGCATGCTGAGATGCACTGGTGCACTGCCTAGTCATGAGAACCCCCACCGCCCAACACACACAATCACAAAAGAGCTTTCTCTGGTGTTGCCCCTCCTCTCTCTCCCATGGAATGCCCTCCAACAAGAATAATCCCTGGCCTCTTCTCATCGGGGTTTCAGAAAGAGAATGCGGACGGGTCTCTCCAGTTCAGGCACTAAAAGTGCATAATTGCTCTAATACTCAGACTCATAGAATAGTCGAGTTGGAAGGGGCCATGAAGGCCATCAAGTCCAGCCCCCTGCTGCTGCAGGACACCAAGTCACACCATCCCGCTCACATGGCTGTCCAGTTGCATCTTGAATGCCTCCAGTGTGAGAGAGCTCCCCACCTCTCCAGGCAACTGGTTCCACTGCCATATTGCTCTAACAGTGAGGCAGCTCTTCCTGATGTCCAGCCTGAAACTGGGTTGTTGCAACTTGACTTGATTATTCCATGTCCTGCACTCTGGCATCAGCAAGAAGAGACCTTGACCTTCCTCTTTATGACAGCCTTTGAGGTACTTATAGAGGGATCTCATGTCCCCCCTCCGTCTTCTTTTCTCAAGGATGAAATGCCAGGTTCTCTCAGTCTCTCCTCACAGGGCAGAGTTTCCAAACCCTGGATCATTTTTGTTGCCCTCCGCTGGACCCTTTCTTATTTTTTCTGCATCTTTCTTACATCTTGGTGCCCAGAACTGGGCACAATATTCCAGGTGAGGTCTGACTGGTGAGGAGTATTACTTCCTGTTATTTGGAAGTAATACCTCTGTTAATGTATCCCAAAATAGCATTTGTCCTTTTGGTGGCTGCATCACATTGTTGGCTCATGTTTAGCCTATTGTCCACAATTACTCCAAGATCTTTTTCTTGTTCAGTTCTGTTGAGCCACATATTCCCCATCTTGTATCGGTGCTTTTGGTTTCTTTTCCTAGGTGGAAGACTTGGCACTTGTCCTCATTGAATCTCTTTCTGTTGCTTTCAGTTTAGTTTTCAAGTTTATCAAGATTGCCCTGGATCCTCTAGGGTGTTTGCTATTCCACCCAGTAGCGTATTGTCTGTCTTTGTATCCTTGTACTTCCTTATCCAAATGACCAATGAAGATGTTAAAGAGCACTGGGCCCAGGACTGAACCTCTCAGTGGCCTTCTCTTTTATGGATTTAAATTGTTCATATTTAAGCTTACAGATCTTCCTGGGATGGGAACTAAGATCATTGCCGAAGATGAGTAATATCAGGGATATGTCAAGGGACAGGCATTGCTTGAAAGGCAAACTTAGCAAAAGAAAGGAAAGAATATACATCTGGAGTAGAAGCACAAATCTTTGAAAATCCCAAGATTAACTAATCTGATTGCCCTTTCCTGAAGATCCCAAGGTACGAGGGTTTTGCTTTACGAAACATTCCAAGGCAGTTTCTGCCTTAATTTAACCCTAATCTATCTGGCACCACATTTTTGAAGAAAAATACATTTAGGATACATTCCGACTGAGATGAGCATAAGCCTTCCAACTTGGAGGCTCACAGCCAACCGCCAGGAACAGGAGACAAGGTGGAGCCCACCTTCCCTGCCCCTCAACTCCGGCTCCACATTCCTGCTCAACAGCTCTTTTTGGCCCCCTGGCAACAGCATTCGGGAAGAGGCAGGACAGAGGCTGGAGGATACCTCATACCTTGGCTGCTCCCATCTCCCTTCCACCCCTCTCTGAGGTCATGTTCAGTTCCTTCTGCACTGGCTGCAAAGGGAAGGGGGTTGCCTTGGAGTGCTCTCCCCGACATCTGAGCTGAAATCTGAACTATCCGACAGCCTCCCAGCTGATGTCTGTTTGTTCCCTTAGAAACAGAAATTTAAATGCAGATCTTCTCAGAGATCCAATGGAAATTCCACAGATTAATGCAGAACGGCTGCAGAACTGATTTATGAGTGAGCCGGCGAGGAAGTCAGGAGGACTGGCAAGAGGCTGACCCGGCAGCCTCTGGGCAGAAGAGAGTCCTTTGCCTGTGAAAGGGCGGGGAGGGAGAGGCCCATTTGGATTGGATTGAATGGGGGGAAATGGAGGTCGAGCCTAAGTGGACAGGCAGGCTTCTCAGCTCCTAGCATTCTTTGAAAAACCATTCTCTCTGGCAGTCTTGTTCTGCCAACGACTTCTCGTAAGTGCTCAAAGCCGCTGCTCCGTGGGCCCAGAGAAAATGCATCAAAAGGGCCCTTGCTGCTGTAAGAGTAAAAGCCAATCAACCCCCTTTGTTCTCACCTGTCATGGGGCAAAAAGGGAGGGGGGTGTGGCCTGAGAGACCTAGTGTGGATTATTAGGGTTGCTATGGAAAAGAAAGACACTTTTTCATTAGGAAAAATGGAGTGGGGGGCAAGTGCACAGATGGCTGTGGGAGGTGGAAGTAGTGAGGGGAGTGGGAGGAGCTTGGACCTGGGGGTTGGACCTGATGACCTTCATGGCCCCTTCTAACTCTATGATTCCATGAAATTGCAGCAATTTAAGGAAATAAATGGGAGGAAACAGAACCAGCGGGGTGATCCATTACAAGCTGGGGACATGAGCCAGGAAAGCAGGTGTGGAGAATGACTTCTTCAGGAGGCAGCTTTCTGTGCCCTGGACTGCAACCTGAAAGGACATGCTGCGCACTGTTAGACCCTGGTCACGGAATGGCCAAGAAGGCCTCCTCTGAAGATCTTAATGTTTTGCTAGGTGCGTGTTCAGGAAGGCAGGCAGCTTTGTTTCCTGGCCCAAATTTATTTATTTATTTATTTAGCGGACTTCTATGCTGCCCCATTCGCCTAAGCCTCGGGGCCGCTTACAAATAAATAAGTATCACTAGTACAGTATAATACAGTTGGAGACATCCTGGCCAAAGTTGTTAAAATCAATAAATAAAATCAACAATTAAAATGACATTTAAATAAAAAGGTCTTGGCCTGGTGCCGAAAAACAAATAACGACGGCGCCAGGCAGACCTCTCTGGGGAGCACATTCCATAGGTGGGGCGCCACTGCAGAGAAGGCCCTCCTCCGGGTGCTCACCCTCCTAATGCCCTTCACGGAGGGCTCCTGGAGAAGGGCCGCTGCCGCCAATCTCAAGGGGCGAGAGGGCACGTATGGATGTAAGCGCTCCTTTAGGTAACCAGGTCCCAAGCCGTTCAGGGCTTTGTAGGTGATAACCAGCACCTTGAATTGGGCCCGGACTTCAATGGGGAGCCAGTGAAGCTGACGGAGGACTGGAGTTATGTGAGCACAACACCCAGTCCCCATCAGCAACCTGGCAGCTCTGTTTTGCACCAATTGAAGTATCTGGACCGTCTTCAAGGGCAGCCCCACGTAGAGCGTGTTACAGAAGTCTAGTCGGGAAGTTACCAATGCGTGTGACAGAGTTGCCAGGCAGTTGTTCTCCAGGTAAGGACGCAGCTGATGAATCAGCCGAAGCTGAAAGAAAGCGCTCCTCATCACCGCTGTCACCTGAGCTTCTAACAACAGCTCTGGGTCGAGGAGCACTCCCAAGCTGCGGACCTTGTCCTTAAGAAGAAGTGCAACCCCATTCAGGACAAGATCAAGGTCCCCCATCCTGAAGCCCGAACCGCCTACCAAGAAGACCTCTGTCTTGTCTGGATTGAGCTTCAGTTTATTGGCCCTCATCCAGCCTATTACCTCGGCCTGGCACCAGTTCAGCACAGCCACTGCCTCACCTGGATTGGTGGAGAACGAGAGGTAGAGCTGGGTACCATCAGCGTACTGATGATTCTGTAGCCCACACCTCCTGATGACCTCTCCCAGCGGTTTCATGTAGACGTTAAACAGCAAAGGGGACAAAATGGATCCCTGCGGTACTCCATGGCATAGCTGCCATGGTACAGAGCCATAGTCCCCCAGCACCACCTTCTGGAATCGGCCGTTGAGGTAGGAGCGGAACCACTGCAAAGCAGTGCCTCCGACCCCCAATCCCGCTAGCCTATCCAGAAGGATACCATGGTCGACGGTATCGAAAGCCACTGAGAGGTCCAGGAGGACCAACCGGGACGCACTCTCCCTGTCTCTCTCCCTGCACAGGTCATCGTACAGGGCGACCAGAGTCCTCCAGAGTCCTCCAGTCAAGGCTCAGGAGCTGGCAGGAGGCCAGTAGCAGCTCTTTCCACATGGGAGTTTTGTGTACATGGCTTGGTGTCCCACGGACCATCCTCAGTGCTGCCTTCTGGGCCAGCTGCACCTTTGAGACTGGTACATGAGCCACCCCACAGGGAGCGGCGTAACTGGGTGTCCGCATGGTGCAGTGACTGAGGGCACAGGACTGGGACTTGGGCGATCTGGGTTCTAGTCCCCACTCAGCCATGGAGCCCACTGGGTGACTTTGGGCGAGTCACAGACTCTCTGCCCAGCCTGCCTCACAGGCGGCGGCGGCGGCGGCGGCGGCGGCGGCTGCTGCTGCTGCTGCTGCTGCTGCTGCTGCTGCTGCTGCTGTTGGGATAAGATTTTGAGCAAGAGGACAAGAG